AATCTCTGCTCAGTGGGTCTGCACTGGTGTCACCCTCGTGACACAATCCAGGAGGCAGCATTGCTCCTTGCTGAGCTGAGACCGTACCTGGCCTCGGCTCCAAGCATGGGAGCAGCAGGAGCAGCAGCTCCAGCAGCACTCGGTTAAAGACAGGGAGGCAGAGCTACCCGGGAGAGAGGAGATTTTAAAAGCTCATTTTCCTCTTCCCAGGGATGAGCTGATTGCTTAGTACCCTGCTTCTTGGAGGGAAGGATAACAGCGTCCATGCCCATAATTTATTTTAAGCAAGTGCAAGTTAGTCCTCTGCCTGGGTACCTGAGGGGAAGGCTAACAGAAGCCTCAGACAGCCCCAGGCAAAGAGCTGAACTAAGGAATGTCAAGATTAACTAAATCCTCTCCCCAGAAAACCACTAGGCTATTTTCTGCTGTTAAGGTAATAAACTGCTCTATGCAGGAACCGTTTATCCTTCTGTTAATAATAATCCCCTGACCCCAGACATAACAGCACCGATTTCTTACACTCTTCTGGACCTTCTGTCTTTTAGGGGGGGCCAATACAATATATCAGTCTCAGACAGCCTTTACTGCAGGTGTCCAAGACACAAAGATCAAGTAACGAGCACTGTACCCACCCCCAGAAAAGCTTAGGGAAGGACATCCACTAACAAAGCAGAGTAAGGAGGATTTCCCTTGTGAGGGGCTGAAACTTTTCAGGGTTTATGAGTTTCCCCACAGATCAAATCATACCATAAGAGCTTTCCCAATTTCTGCCTTGTTCCGTGGATACCTCAAACACACAGATGCTGCTCCTTCTCCCATACTCTTCCCAAATAAGAGCTTCTCCATTTCAACGCATGGCTAGAAGGGAGACGGCACCCAAAACAACACTCTTGTTTTCTCACCACCAAAAGGACAATGTGGTTCCACCTATTGTGGAAACCCCATAGGACTCAACCACCTTACAAATAAAACCAGCGGTGACATTTCCCTTTCTGCCGCTCTGACAAAAGACCTAGGCCTTCTCAGGGAGAGGAGGGAATTAACGTTTGCACCTTTGTCGAGCAGGGTGGGCCAAAACCGGGAGGGAGACCAGGGAAGCACTCCGCAAGTTCATGGTGAGGTGGGTGGAAGCACCATGCCTGGACTATCAGGTCTTCAGGAAATATAAAGGCCCAAGTGTGAATATGCTGGTGTGGGAGACGGATGAGGTCCGCTAGCACAGCCTCCTGACCCATCTGCTCTGCCCCACAGAGAGATCTTCACAGTTTCCAAATCTGCTGGGAGCCAAAGCAGCACTGTGCGAAAAGGCCGGCAGGGCACCAGGGCCGGGCGGGAGTTTGCCTTGCATGGGGCCAACTCCAGGATGTGCAGCCTCCTGCTGACAGCAGAAGAATAGGAGAATCGGCATGTTTCGGGCCTGGGTTACTGCTCCCCTCCCACCACGCGCCCCAGTTCCTCAACGTGAGCTGCCAAGGGCCCTGCTGCGCTCCTACGCAACCGTCTTCCACTGACAATAATAAAAAAAAAAAGAAAAGGAAAATGATGAAATCAGGGCATAAGAAGAGTCCAGGAGAGGAACTGCTACAGAACAGCAAGAAGCAATCCCTCCCGTCCTGCGCCAGGGCTCGGGGATCTAGGCCTGTCCTGCAGCCCCGCAGGTTTGTCAGCCTGAACTCTTCCTCTTCATGGAGAAGGGCAGTCTGGAGGTGTAAATGGTCTTCAGTGAGCCTTGAAAAAACCAGCCTTCTTTTGCAAATGAATGAGTTTCAGATAGCCTGAGAGAGGGTTCTGCAAGACGACACCGGAAACACTGCCTTGTTTTCTCCGCACTTATCAAAGCAGTCAGGAGGGAGCACCTCTGCAGCTGGCAGGGAGCAGGTTCCCCAGAGAGAAAGTGAATGCCCCGTCCTTTAATGCCTGGTTTTGTGGCTGCCAGAGAGTCCAGGGAGGAAGAAATTTTCATTTCTGGGGGAGGTGCAGTGTTGTTTTTTTTTTTTTTTAGTACAACCACAGAGACATTCACCCCAGAATAATCCTCAGAGAGAGAGAGAGAGAGCGAGCAGCACGACAAAATGCTGCATAACCTGTTGGTGTATGTTCTTTCCAGCATAATTGAAGGCGTTTGCATCTATTTGCAGAAGAAGGCAACTCAGCTCCGTCACAGCTTGTCGCCATCGTCTTATCCCTGTGGGCAATTTGAACTCTGTTGCCAGGGATATGGCTGATGTCACATCAGGCAGCAAAGATGAGACAAGGAAAGGAACAGCTTATACTTCAGAGAGGTCAGAGTCGCACTTGGTGCAAGGAAAAGGAGCGAGGCAGCTTAGGAAAAGTTGGACAAAAAGGACTGCAAACTAAAGCACAGTTAAAACAGAGCAGAGGAAACTCTAACCTATGGCAAGAGTCCCTCCTTAAGAGCACGGACCAGCAATCTCAAGCCTCATCTTAAAACAGCCTGAACCTTAGCGAGTGCGAAAAGATGCTGAAGACCCACTGGCTGCCAGTGAAAAGTGGAAGGAGACAGGGAGTCTGGAGCAGGAACTGGCTCAAGGAAAAGGGAAGAGACACTGGTGGGCCCAAGGCATTAGACCATCTCAGCACACCTCTGCATACCCCCTCGTGATGCTGATCCGCAGAGATTGCTTCCCGTTCTGGTGTTCACACTTGCATTTTTTCCCCACACGTTTTCTCCCCCTCCAAGAAAGGCTACAAGGACCAGCCAAGGTCATGAAAGACACCTTGCAGTGAAAAACTGCAAGAGCACAAGCATTTCAGTTTGCAAAGACCGGACTTAAAGAGTGCCGTGATTATCAGGACTGCCAGCATGGGGTGAAGACGCTGGAAGTAGAGAGGTTACTATTCCAACAGGGGTAGCACACAGAGCTGGATCTGAAGTCAGCAATGCTCAGTCGAGGAACAAGACGATTTCAAACCACCGCCCCAGGCTGCCAAGAGGTTTGGAAAACTCTCCATCCCTTGGGTATTTTTTCTATGAGTTGTTGTTAGTTCAGTCCCTGTTATCAGGGCCAAACACGGGTATCGGTTGCCGTGGAGAGCAAAGCACCACGTTTGACTGATGCGGTCCTCTCTGGGTTTGAGAATCCGTCACAGCAAGTTTGGCCAAGGTAGTACAAGACCATTACTTCAGGTAATCATCCTTCAGTGCGGACATTAGTCAACCAGAACTGGAAAAGCTAAGCTGAGGGGGGGCCACACCTCCACCCTGTCCCTTTCTGCTCTCTATGGAAGCCAGCAGATGTTAGTAGTATATATATTTTGCTTATGCGTACAGATTCAAAATTCATATATGGAGGGATGGCTTCTGTCTAGAGCCTCTTCTTTTTGATCCAAAGTTTACATATTAAAGGAGAAGCCTCTGGTCTCTCTTATCGCCTGAACAGCAGTTCCTCTTCTCTTTCAAATGAGGCAGTAGATGAAGATAAGATCACCTCATCCCTCCATGCAGAAGGCAGCGTTCCAGCAACAAAGAGATACAGCAGCTTCCCTTTTCTGCTTATATTTGGGCACTTTTGGTGACAACTCATGAAAGTTACAATTAACTTCAAGTAAATATTGTTCTGCTGTTTTGAATTCTCCTCTCAAGCCTGACTTTTATCTGCCAGAAAAGCTGAACATCCCTTCAGCACCGGAGGGAGGCTTACAAGGCAAAGCTATATTTCTTCACCCCTTTCTGATAACAGCGCCTTTGAAACACTTGTACTTTTTTTTGTATTAGAAAATACACTTTTTAGGAAGATGAGGGACATTGAACATTGTCAAAATTGTGAACCTGACGTAAATGCAGCACAGGGGTCTCCTGGTTTTTGGAGAAGAAACGTGGCTGCTTTTTCATCTGCAGACACTAATTCTGAGTGCAGTGATTACGTACAGAAATAAATGAGATGCTTTTTTCTCTGTTCATTAGCTTTTCCGGACCAACAACCGGGAAGGAGAGGAAGGCAGAGAGCAGCTCCTGCAGCACAGGCATTTCCAACAGGAAGAGCATGGCCACAGCCAGCTTTATTTAATGCTGCTCCCCAGGAGCCCGATTTCTAGGTCCATACTTAGGGCCCTGCAGAGACCTGTGGCTAAACGCCCCACCGGGGCTACCACAGCGCGCCCCCAAAACCTGGAGAGCGCCGGCAGGGACAACCTGCCACCCCATGAGCAGGTTCCCGTGGGGCTGCCGACCCTAGCGCGTCCACTCCTTGCAATTGCTGCGAGGGTACTGGAGACCATCCAAGGCATTGCTTAAAAGAAGCAGGGCTTCCCCTGCACCAAGGCTTTGCTGATTACGGGGCGATCTCGCCCAGAGCGGGCCTCAAGGACAACAAGTAATTGCGCGGGGACTTGCCCTCGGGTCTGAACAGGAGGATCCCTGCGTGACCGCAGGAGGAGCAGCCCCTATCTCCCTTGTTGTATTTCTCACACAGCTCTGCCAGCAGCCTGGGGAGGACTGTTTGACCTGAAACTTCCCAGAGTGAGGTGCAAAACAGCCTCAGCACCTTGCTGCGGTGAGCGTGGGGTGGTGGTGTGGGGGGGGGGGGTTGCCAGCAGCCCATCTGCTGTTTCGGACCATTTCCAGAAATCTCTTCCCTGCCTCGATTTCCTTTGCCTCTCTCTAGTGGATAAGGAGATTTATAGAGGCAGATTTGTCATTCAGCTGGGGTTTGCATTTCACAGTCTAAATCAGAAAACCCTTTAGGTTAACCCTTGGGATGGGGGAGAGTAACACTGCCGAGCGGTGAGCTACTATAGCAGAGAGCAGACTGCTCGCTACCCGCAGCAATCACATGGTTTAAACGATCTGGGCAGCCAAAAAATGGTTCCTCAAAAACACAGCCAACAAATCCCAGGTAACAAGGACAAGGTACTCATTTCACCCGCCCTTTTCCCTGTGATTGCTGCCAGAGCTAGTGCAGCTGCAGGCGTTAACCGCGGCATCCTCCGCGCTGATTTGGCATCATCGCTGGGGCCCAAACACCGATGGTTGGATGTTCAAACAGCAACAAACAACGAAGAGGCGTAAGCACTTCTCCAATATTGCCGGTGTCTTTGGCAATGCCATGAAGCCCTCTTAGAAGGCTCTTTTCAGCCCCAAACCCTGGCTCTGACTGCATTGCACACCCAGAGCTGGAGCACCAAGCTGCCTCCTTCGAGCAGAGCAGTGAGGGGCGCTGATTCTGGCCTCTTGGAAGAAGCAGTCATTAAAATGACTTACCGGGACCACGACAGTGGGATGGTAGCTTTGTTTTTTAAATCAAAAGGCAAAGACACAGTCTGGCATTTCCAAATAACCCCCTTGGGCAGACTAGCAGAGGTTTTCCTCCTGCCAGGTTCAGGCCCGAAAAGCGTCTATTTGCTTTTCACTGCGGCCTGGGACAGGCTGTAATGACAGAGCTGCCAGTCTCCCATAAAGGCACGGAAACACCCTGAGAAAGGGCAAGGCAAGGAAAAGGAAACTCCGGAGAGTGCATGATAAAGCACGGAGACAGTGCGTCCTCTCCCCTTACCCAAATGCCACCTTCCCCGGGGCTCCCCTGCAAACGGGTGGGAGGACACAAACGTTTGAACGCATCTCCAATTACAACCCAGTGAAATGAGGTATAAAAGGAGAAATAAAAAAGGACACCCTCCTTCAAACGCACGTTACTCCTAGTGGACTATTAGCCAAGAAGAAGGAGGGGAGAACTCACTGCCGAAATCCTGGCGTTGCTTCCCGAAGCGTCAGCTACACGCTCTGCATTTCACGTTTGTGTTTCCTCGGGAGCTCAGGCTATCCCCAGAGCCCATCTCCCAAAACCGAGCTGTGCAATAGGACCTGACAGCGTCCTTTCCTCTGGAGCAAAGGACAGCGATGGTCAGGGCGGATCGAGGGTGCCGGACCCCTTTTCTAGCGGGGCCAGGAACGACCCCACAGGCTTTGCGGGGGCCGGAGCAGCCTCGCTGGCTGGCTCTGCACCTCGGAGCTGCGGATCAGCAGTGACCTCCAGCGGCTGGGGGCAG